CTTCAAACATGATGGCGACGCTTGGTTTGGTCTGCAAATGCTGTGATGGGGAGGGAGGGAAATGCAGCAGCTCGTGGAAAGGGTCTTGCTCAAACCTCCATTGCTCTCCATGGAGGAATTATTAGTTCAATATATATATATATATATATATATATATATATATATATATATATACACTCTCAATCACTGTAATAAAATTACTTTCCAGAAAATCTCTTCACTAATAGTAGTTATATATAAAAGTAGGGTTTTTCTATGGGAATATCACATCAACATTGGTAGTACCATAGAAAATCTTTACAAAAAAGTTTATAGTTGCTACCAAAGAGTTTTGTAATGTTAGTCAGCAAAGGATTACTTAACTCAAATTGAGAAGATTGATTATTAAATTAATTGTCTAATCAATTCCAACTATATATCTTTTCTGAGGTGTTGAGAGTTATTTTACATTTTATGTGTGAGTTCCATTTGTTTAGTAAAATTAAGGTTGTCCCATATATGAATAAAATATTGAGAGTGAGATGTGTATATTTATATATACAGTGATAAAGTTGTGCTTTTGTTTTTAATCCTCTTGCATTTGACTGATAAAAATTATCACTTAAGACGTACTTTCAGTAATAGATGAGGGTTTAATTTTTGTCACAATGGAGGTTTGGATTAACCTGGGATCTTTGTGCGCAGAAAGCCAGAAATATACATTTTAGTGTTATTAATTTAATCTCAAGACGGGTTCATGATATATTAGGTTATCAATAAAAAAAAATAAAAATCTCTAATTAATGCTAGAAGCTTGAGCCTCATCGCTCTCCATAATTTAAAATGCTATTTTCTCTTCCTACTTTACGTTCTACGGAGTAATTTAATATTCACATCTTAACATAACAATAGAACTCTTTATATTCATTAAGAAAATAGACCTTCGAGGCTAGGAGCCGCAACTAGAAATGGTCACATCTACTGCCATTTCACCAAACATTAGATTTGTAATTAATCACCATGCATGTGTCACGACTGTACCAAGTGCCCAACCGAAGGTGTCATGTCGACTCGACTCATCACCATCATGATATTTTTCATACCTCTAATATAAAGAAAGCATTCTAGTAGCTAATTAATGTACCAATTGGCATAGAGATCTTCTACTCTACACAATTAGTGTGTAACAAAGACCTATTATGTAACATACATATTCTAACCTATATACTTGGATAGAATAACGCTATCAAGAATCAATCGAGTATACCACATCATTAAATGTGTCCGAGTGGAATTTTGGCATGAGTTGAACGAGTACTTTTCTAGTTGCATGCATTAATTTGATGTGACAAATAATGCAATTCAAGTATTCAACCCCCATTCGCTTAAATAAATATCTTGGATTCAAACTCCACCACAAACAATCTGAAGATGAACTCTACCAATTTGATTCAGGATTGAGATTGGCTGGCCTCCTTGTACATAAAAGCTAAGGATATAGTTTGGTGTGGAATTCAAAATTAGACATACTCGATTTATCTCATTATGAGCTTAGAGAATGTATATTTCTGAAGTCCATGATATACTCTGAGAAAGTTGGAAAATATTGATTATTAAGAAAAAAGAAAAATATTTTGGCGTAATTGAATTTTGTTCGCCTAATTAACCTAATTAATGAGGGTTGAATATAACAACATGCATGATGGGGGAATTGAAGATTCAAATGGCATTTCAATATTCTATCTTAACCACCACTCTAACCATATTTTAATCAAATTAAATGCCATATCTACCTTAAGTATTCTCTATTGCCTAATCTACAATATCTTAATGAGCACAATGTTCAAAAAGTTAACATACATTGGCTACCTCATGAATATCTATCTTGAATTGCAAGTACTAGAATCAAATCTAATCCTCATAATATGTTCTTTAATAATGGGATAAGTATCTTTGTCTATCCACTCTTTAGACCATTCTCCAATCAATTCCATTTATAGTACTCCTAAATTTTTTTGTTTGCCCTTATAGTGCAAAACAGATAATAAGCTTCATTATATTAATCTCTTGTTAACCCTATTATAGATTTCAAGATGATGATAACCTTATCAGATTAAGATTATGTATGTTATGTAGCTAGCTAGTTGTTATTAATTTATGGGGTGTTTTTTTTTTTTTAATAACAGATGTCTTTGCCTGACTATATCCTGAATCCAATGAATTCGCTCTGGACTATATATTATATATATATCTTTAATTTTTTTTTTTTAAATATAATAATTTTGCCTCTTTTTTGTTATCCCTGACTCCAAGCTAGTTAAAACCCCCTCCTTGTCATGAAAGGACAGCCATGATGGAGAGTTATCTGTAGTGCTCCTTTCAACTGATAAGAATTTAATTTGTTCAATGATTCTCCAAATAAAATAAATAATTAAACAAGGGAAGATAGAGTCAATTTTGACACCTTCATCACGTGACTCTGCCTTTTGATTCCATTCATAGCAGACAGTACTCTTCAGATTCTAAAGTGGAATTCATAGGGAAGAAGAAGAAGAAGAAGAAGAAGAGATAATATGCATGTTATGAGTATATATATATATATATATTAATGCACAAGAATGGAACAATGCATCAACAGTTAACTGCATGCCTATTTGTGCAATTTCATCCGAATAGCCTCAACTTGAGAAAGTGACTTTTTATCAACTTATATTTACTATGTGCTTGCAATTGTTTTCATGGTGGGGTTCGCCTAAATTATTCGAGGATAAATTTTGTTCGTTGTTAAAAATGACAGTAAAGTAATCAAGTCTAAGTAGAGAGACCCAAGTAGGCTTGGAGCGTTAAGCCCAACACCCTGTTGTTAGTGCATATTCGTTATATAACACCGGCTACTATACAAAAATAATGAAAACGCCCCCAGGCATTGGTCTAATGGATAAGAAATCGCACTTAAGACTTGCTTCCAGCAGCACGGGGGGTTTGGGTTTGGGTTGGGCACTGTACAATTTGGTGTTGAGTCTGGAAAACCGCTTAATCCTGATAGAATGTGAAAGAGAGCAAGTTTGAATTATTTGTGAGTAGTTAGTAAAGAGTATTCAGCAAGACACCAAACTGAACTAATGACGTCAATAGTGAGTGAAGAATGCAATCTTTATGGCTGTCTATAAATAGCCCTCTGAATGTTTTCATTTCACTCAAAGCTTAGATCACCTTCTCTGATCTCCCTTTCCCTTCTGCAGCATCTAGAGATCTTATCAGCCATTTTTTAGCATTTTGTCAGTTGGTCGTTATTAAAGACTAACAGACAAACTCCTAGGATAGTAGTATACCACACAGAAGGTAGTTTCTTTGGTTAATGGAGAAGGGAAAGGGCAGCTACAACTATAAACAGCAAGTAGGAGGCTCATCTTCATCCTTGACTACTGATCTTTTTGGTCCTAAAGACTCCTCAAAATCAACAACCTCGGGGCTCTTTCAATCCGTTTTCGGGCCTTCCTCCATGGTACGTACACCTTCAACTGTTTTAACTACTTTCATTTCATTCTTAAAATATCACTTATCTCTGTTATACCATCATTTTCTAGGGACTGGGGAGGGGGTCTACTCATTCTGAGGTCTCAGGCTCCTCAACAACTTCAGGTAATGGATAATAATACTTTTCACTTTTCACTCCTTTAAAATAAGGTTCTGTGACCTTAGAAGAGACTCTTTATATTCAGATTGTGCAACTCGAAGGGGAAGGGGAGATGGCACGGGGATAAGTAGCAAGGAGATCAAGAGTTCTGTTTATCAGAACTCAAGTGTAGAGCCGTGCTATTTAAGCTCATCAATCTATTATGGCGGCCAAGATGTTTACCCTCCAACCACCCAAACCAATACCTCGCGCCATACTGTAAGTAAAATATAAGGAGTGTATATGATATGTGATTTTGGTTCCAATCAAAACTATATTCAAAGATTAATGATTCAGTTTATGCTTTTTGGGTTGCGTTTTTCTTGAATCAGTTCAAAAAAGACGGGGATGAAGATGACCAAAACGGAAACAACAATTCAAACTGTGCTTCTAGGGGAAACTGGTGGCAGGGTATGAATATTTCTGTCATTTCAGATAATCTTCTTCTTAAGGTGTTTCTTTCATAGCTGCAAATCAAGTTTTATCTGTTTATCTCTGCAGGATCACTCTACTACTAAAGCAGACCTTAATTTAAAGGACGGCACCTTAAGGATGATTTCGTAGCAGAAAGGAGTGGCAGATTTTACAACATTTAGTTCAACATTACCTTCTCTTTTTTCTGTTTTTCCCATGTTTCAGAATAACATAAGCTAGCTTGTACTAGAAACTCCTAGCTCCTTGCAGTTCATTGTATACGTAACACGCTACTTTTGTTTTCTTAATCAAATCTAACTTTCTAGTACTCCTCATAATCAGCCCGGCTGAAATCTATTTGTCTTGCTCTAACAGTAACTGTAAAGAACAAGGATGCAGTAACTGTAAAACTAAAGCAACAACACCCTGTGAAATAGCAGAAAGGTAGCCATGCAAGTATGCAGCAAATCTTTGTATAATGAACACCGAGAGTTTTATTACTTCTTAACAGAATTCATGCATGGCAATGACTAGAAAGAGCATCCACTTACAGCATTTCCTGTCTTCGAATTCCCACTCACTAGAAAGTCGTTTTCAGTTGAAGAAATAACACGTGGTCCTGAAGAACCGAAGAATCAATTCCACAATAATGCAGCATAATCTTGATATGCAACTTGTTATGTCAAAGATGAAGTCTTTTTCTATGCTGCAATCTGGAACCATGTTAAAGAATCCCTCATGTCAAAGATTGAGTCATTTTCTATACTGCAATCTGGAATCAAGTTAAACTGTCCTGTCTGCATATAATTATATAAACTATCCCTTAATGAGAAATGGAATTGATTTACTAAGGGTAATTTTCATATAAACAACAGCATAGTAAGTACAAGGTCTGATAAGAGTAAGAATGTAAGATGTTGTTTCTGAATCAAATACAGGACAAATTGACAAACAGTTTGTGGGCAAGTTAACGAGTGAAAGCATAGACGACGATGCATACATATAACAGAAGCCCTAATGGCACAAAAGTCACGAGAGGGATGACAGCTCCATAGCTATGGCGACTCCCACACCCCAGAGTTCCCAGCTTTACCTCAACGACATTGATCAAAGCAAGCATCAAGCAAATGCACCCAGAAGCCGAACCCGCAGCGGAGACCAGGTACCCGACCCGGAGTGCGGTCTTGTTGATGTGGGCGAAGTCGAAGGTGAAGGTGAAAACGGTGTGGTGATGGGCGCGGGTGGAGGAGAGGCGGAGGGCCTGCTTCAGGCACAGAGCGATGAGGCTGGAGTAGAGGAAACACGCGAAGGAGTAGACGTGGAACGCCACCAGATCCTCCGCCACTTTCGGGTCCGGCAGGCATTTCGGGTCGTCGGTGAGCCGGTTATTCGGGTCCCGAGGGTTCCACGATAACCCGACGAACACCGCCAGAGAAAACAGGGAATTCACGTGTATTATCCCGTCCAGCGCCGTAATGTGGATCGCCGTGCCCAGCCTGGGGACGCCCGTTTCAGACATCTTGGCCGCGGCTGCTCACGGCGGAGCTTTTGCACTTGAAGCGAGGCCGGAAAATGAAATCTTGCCGTGACTGTAAGCCATTCTGTTCAAAGAAAGTTCAAAGCTCAGCTTTTTCTTTTTGTTGCTTTATCATCTTTTTTCCTCGTTTTCATTTCAAACGAATGAATATATAACGTTAAAAAGCTGGAAAAAATCTCAGAAACACATGCAATTGCCTGGAATCACAATATTTACGTAATTTTGAAAAACTATTATTTTATTAATTATAATGGTAAAACATCCCGGACAGGATATTTCCCCCGCACCCAACTCACTCCGTGTTAGGTGTCTGATATTGCAAATACGGGTATACATAGAGTGACCCGCGGGTACTAATGACCGAATACTGAAGCTCGGGAGTCCTGATAGTGGGTCGGGAAGCTCCGGTTCAATTAAAGTCCAAAAGTCCCCTCTAAGTAGCAATAAATGCCCTATTTATAGGAAGGGGAGGAGATAGACCCTTGGGCTCTGGCATGGACGGCACGTGGCAAGCATGCACCGGTCACCGTCGAGGCCGCGTACTACCTCGCCACGTGGCAATGCTACACTGGAGCCCCAAAGGGCGCGGGCCCGAGCGGTGAACGGTCAGGCATAGGTCCCTAGCCGGTCCGCATAAGGGACGACCACGGCATGACCGGTCCGTAAGAGGGCAGTCGGGAAGCCGTCCGGGCGGTTCTGCAGCCCACAGGTCTGAGATGACGATACCGGCCGATACCGAGCGTACGGCCGTGGCAATGGGGTGCATATCCCTATCAGTGACTTAAGAGGAAAAACGTAACCTGAATAGCGGTTACACTCCGCACGATTCTGTTCAACACCTATCATCCTCCCGCCCGCACATATGAGACATACACAACAACTTCATAATTCACAAGTTTTTAATTCAAAAGAATAAACTGAACTGGCATAGAATGTAACTAAGAATGCTATTTCCATGAAAAATGAACAGAGTTTATGGAATACAATTAGTTCTGCAACAATTTGTATGTCAACTGTCCAGAATTTGATTGTGTGCTCCCTATATATATATCCCTCTCTTCTACAAGTGGTAAGTCTGTAACTCTACAGGTTTCAGCGGTTAACTGGTTTTAACACAGAACACTGCTCCTTCTGCAATTCTTGAGCTTCCACGCAAGGTTTCGATGCTAGTGAGCCGGAACTTTTGTTGGAAATGGAGGCCAGAGGATTTCCACAGGTCTTCGTCTTTGTCTCACCACCGAGGTAGTTGGACAGTGCTCGTTTTACTCCAAGGCCACGTCGGGCAAGCTTAGCAGTGTTGGCATGGAGGAATGGGGTTAACTCTCCTCCCCTGGCGGGGCTTATCAGAGGGGTGGGTGAGAGGGTTGGAGTGGAAAAAGCGGATTTGAATGGGGTGCCTGAGAGGGGGGGCATGGAGAATGGGCTCGAAACTTTTCTGTTCGCGTATGTGTTGAGTGCAGTAACTGAAGAATGCTTATCGGATTGCCTGGTTATGTCGTCCACGTATAGTAAATCATCAATCCGTGCTGCGATATTGAAAGCCAGACTCTCCAAGACTCTCGAATAGCTCTCGAGGATCGACTTTCCCACATCCTGAAACATACATTGGAACAAGAACATGAAAATCGTTGTAGCTGAAATGAAGGTTTTGGCCAGATATAGAAATAAGAGCAGAAGTGAACCTTGTTGCACTGAATCTTGGTGGCGTCCAAGGTTGTCTGGGCGAGATTGGGGAATCGCTGCTTCAAGCAAAGCAGAAGATTCTCAGCTCGCTCTGCTAGTAAATCCCGCTTGTCTCCATCAACCACTAGATCTTTAACAATGCCCCAAGAAGATTTGGCGGTGGAACGGTTTGGATGTGTCGGGGGTCTCGGGTGGTGGTGCCTTCTACGCCAAACGTAGATTGCAGCCTCCACGCGATTCGCCAACTCCAAAGCCACGTGTTCAGAAGACACGTCGAGGCAATCCAGCAGGCACTCTGACGAGAAACTATCTGATGTTATGTAGCGATAAATGACATCTCCCAAGCAGGCTCTCCCGTTCTAGAAACGCAACGATTAAAACATCACTCGAATGAAATGAATCATAAAGACGAACATGGATTCTTAGCAACTAGGATGTTAAGAAAAGAAAACCTTCGGAAGAGCTTCCAAGTATGACTCTGGAACTTCCATCTCGGCCAAAGTAACGCTGTTGATCGCCATCGCTGCTTTGAGGATTTGGCTCGTGCATTCGCGTTTGTGGTTTAGCTGCTTCCTCGTGGCGTCGGGGAGACCATCAGCAGGCACCCTCGGCACGGGCAGCCACCACTTGTCTTCTTGGCGTGGGATGACCTTATAAAACGAGGCCGATCCATCATTCTCTGCTGCAACCACACCTTTATCCACATACCAAAACTCGGTGCTGGTGAAACTATCCACAATTCCCTGCACCATCGAATCGGATTTTAAACGGGCGCTGTTCTCTACATTACAAGCAATAACCAGAGCCAAGAAAGCAAGGAGGAGGCCTTACAATGAGCATGTTGTCAAGTTTCTTAAGCGCTGGAAGGTTAATCGATATATCTGATCGTGGTCTGCTACTCATCACCTGACAACAAAACGAGAAGCAAAACATCAGTTATTTAACTACAAACAAACAGCTAATCAAAGCCATTAACATCAGATTATCTGCTTCAAATCAACATTTCAGATCATAAAGCACATCCAGAGACAGAGCAGAGGCTACCTCAAGCTTACTTCCATCAGGAAGTGTTTGCCAAGAAGGAATTAACTCAACAACGTAATCGCTAACAGCCACAAGCCATTCAATCTCCCTTCGCCACATCGATTTCTTTTCGGGAGGCAATGGTTCCAGCCTCCATAATTGTCCAAATACAGTAGCTGCAGACAACATGTAACTAACATAAAGTAGACATTTCATCACCCAAAATCTTATGAAAAGTCCAATTTGTTCTTATCAGGCAAAGAAGTATGTGTACAGAGAGGAAGAGAGGATGAATGCTTACCACACAGATTGGTAATGGCATTTGAAATGGCTAATGCTGTGGAAACTCCTTTACCACAGCCAGACATGTCTTCACCAAGCAACAATTTTGCAAATCTCTCCTTCATCATCTCCAGTTCTAGTCAAGTGTAAACAAGAAATTTTGAAAAAAATTTCAACTTCAAATTACAAATTTCCCTATTCAAATGCTAGGAAGTTCAAATGCAGAACTATAAAGTCATAACATCTCATTAAAAGTTTTAAAGCTAAACCACTGTTGAATAATCAAATTAAAACATAAAAAAAAAAAAAAAAAGAAAGGCAACCTGGAATTCTGGAGTCAAGCTTGTTCTTCAACTTGGAATCATCGCCATTATCGTCTTCATTCGCCTTCGCCTTCGCCTGTTGCTGAGCTACACCTTTCTTCGAGCAGTTGGTGGACTGGGCCTTCCGGATGGGCCATCCCAGAGCCGGCGGCGAGTAGCCGCCCCCCTTCCGTCTACTCTCGTCCGACGACGAGTCAGAAGTCGACCCCCTCGAACTCGAATCAATCAACGACTCAGACATACTAGACCCATCTCCTCTCTTGCTCATCTTCAAGAAGATGAGGAAAAGCTAGTATAGGTTGTCGTTTACAATTACTGACAATACCCAAAATAAATACACCTAAGATAAGCTACTGGGAAGAAAACTTAAGCACTATATACAAGGAATCTGCAATATTTGCTTCCTTATTCATCACCCATCCACCTCAAAAAGACTCCAACTTTTTTCAAACAAAACACCCAGAAAACACAGATAATGAGCTCAAACGATGCTAGCCCATCAAGAATCTTAGCTCACAAAGTTAGATGATTCTCATCAGAATTGAAAGAAGTGTGAAGTAGGATGTTTTGGAATGGGATTTATGGGATGGGAGTACCAAGTTTTCAAATTTTGAGGTTAACTGCCTTTCGGTCTATGGCCACATGCCAACGTCTATGTTCCTCAGGGCATCGTTTTAAAAAATAACCAATAAAATAATGCCGTGAGTGTGACGGATATGGCAACAGCTTTCGAAAATTACGCTTTTGCCCCTGTTGCAAATTAGTGACATCTTCCCATTAAATAAACATATAATAAAATAATACGCACCGTTTCATTTTGTGCGTCTCATTCGATAAAAAAAATTTAACTAAAATTATTTACAATTCAAATTTTAATAATATTAAGTCTAAGTATTAGTATATAAAATTTATAAAAAAAAAAAGTTGCATTAAAAGTAGTATTAAATATACAAATTAAATTTAAAATAATTTTAAAAATACTAAAAAAATAATTAAAGATGAAATATTTGGTTTGACTAATAAATAGTAAACATGACAAGTAAAATGAGAGACGGGTATGATATATTTAATTCCAAAACAAAATAATACATTTTATGGTGTGATGGATCTCAACGATGCACCTTCTCGGACTGGACTTGGCCCGCTTTCGCCTCGCCATCGATTCAACCTTGTGACCTCGGCTCTGATACCAATTGATAGATCTAAAGCTGCATTATGTTTACTTTCCTGTGGGTCACTTATTCTGTGATTGTTATAAGTCAAGTACACTTAATCATAGAGTTCTTTAGATATTTGGTTGACATACACTACTTAAAATCAATTGGTGATGAGTAGGTGGACATTAACCATTTAACCACATCCCTTCATAGTAAGTCATAACACCACGTCTCGAATCGAGTAGAGGTTGAACTTAGTTAACCCGACCAACGCCCAACATGGTGTTTGTAAGTTTATGTTTTTTTTTTTTTTAGAAATGTATAAGAAAGTAATATAATTTTTTCCGAATAAAAAAATGATATTCACATTATAAAATGTCTAGATTATATATTGTGTTCAAAATTTCCATAATATATTAAAACATGGGTAGATAGGAATGCAGTCATATATGTATGGAACGTTTAGACATAACTTAATTGGTCAATCAATTCAAAATAAGTTCATAGTCTTTACTTTGTTAGCAATCACGATATGTAAGGTTTGAACTGGTCCAGGACAAGTGCAATAAGGGACATTTAAGTTTGAGCCTTGCATGTTTTTTTAATATTTTAGTCATGTGTTTGAACCTTATTAAAATGTTTTATTATATATATATATAGCTTCCATTGTAATGTGGATCATATAATATGATATATTGTATATTTATCATTGAAAATGTCAAATTCGCCCCTTAAGTCACATTAAGTTTCCTATATAAATGAACTCCCTTAGATTAGTAAAATAATGCAATTGGATCTTAATGTTATTGATATCAATCGAGGTATAGTATCCAATACATCAAATTAAACACTGTCATCATAATATTATCACGATGGAGACTATATTTCTAGGAATTAATAAAATTAAAGGCAAAAATTACGATATTAATATTTCACAATATACTGTTTTTTTGAATACTACTAATTTTGTTACAATGTAGTATATGTTCGTAACTACTTTTTCAACCTATTGAATCACAACTGACTCTCACTGAGAATCGAACACATGACTTCCCATCCGGGAGAGCCACTCTGAGCAATATAATGTTAATTCAATCGAATTTTAATCACGTAACACTCCAATAATGAGTAAAGTGTGGGAGAATATAAATGTGATAAGTAGGGATAGATTAGATGGATGGATAAATAGTAAAATTTTCAAAATTGGTGGGGCCTACATATAGATATAATTACATTAAAGTCGTTATTGGGCATGCCGTAACTATCACACCCCTTTCTGATCATCATCGCCCATAAACTCGAGGGTCTTATGATTCGCATTTATTATACTATATACTATGTGTTACTGTTACAGTGTTACCTCAATATATATACATACATACACTCAATAATTTTTTTTTTAAAAAAAAAAAAACCTGTATTGCATTGCTTCAAGAGGAATAGTTGAGTGAGTAGAGCATAGTTTTTATACTTTAAGTCACGAGTTTGATTATTGTCAACACCTTCTCGGATGAATTCATCGCATAAGAATTTTTAGTACGATTTAACTCTCATGCGTGTGTGATTAATTTGCAGACTATTACATAATAGTAGGCTCTCAGATAGTTGTTGTAGCTAGGTTTATATCGTTAATAAAGATTCAAATACATATATAATAACTTAGAAGTTATGTGATTCTATATGTAGATTCAAAATTTGACATTAGACTACACAAATATAAGAACATATAGTTACATTTTACCATTAATTTTTTTTTTTTTTGTAACGATAAATACTTGATTTCGACACTTGTTCACGACGAAGCTAGTAATTACTACTTTCAACAACGTAACTATCTGATTTTTTTTTTTTAAATGGTTGATGCGTGAATGAGTATGGAGATATATGCATAAAATTAAATTAAACTTTGATTGAAATAGAATATATGGAGACTAATTAGTGTTTGGAATATAATGGGGATCTACATTAATGAAGAGTACGTAGCAATAAATGATAGATCGGTGGTCTGAATATTATATTTTTCAAATTTTTGGTGGTCCTAATCCATAGGTTCACCTAATATATATTTTAAAAACCTTGCTACTGCAACATCCTAAATGTTTATGTATTGAGTGTTGATGAGATAGTGTATGTGAGTCTTTTCCATTAATAAAGGTCACGAGTTCAAGTTCATGAGAGAGCGATTTGTCACTCCAGTACGAACATGATTAGTCTCGATGTATTGAGTTCTAGTAGCTAGTATACCTTTGACTTACGTGGTGATTATATTTTTAGCCACTATACGAAGATACGTTTTTATGTGAAACCTGCTTTGTGACTCTAGCCAGCAAAGGATCACAAATTAGGTAAATCTGTCTAGGTTATCCATAGCTTACCGACACAAATCAAGACGGCCAAGAAACATCTCGCACGAGGAGTCAAGTTTGAGACTTTGTAGTTATCAGGCCAACTGTTCGATCAACTAACTTGATTAGAGTTGTTCATGAATTCTAGTATACCCTACATAATGAAACATGTGATTGGATAGGAAAAAGAAAGGTTTGTTTGTTGTACATGCAATGCATGGAACATGTACAAGCTATATAGGATACCAAGTTATGGATCGGAGTACATAACGTGAAATATTAATGAATATTGCCGCTGCCGCACCTGTATACGTACAAATATCTGATACATGCACGCACAAAAGGCTTTTGTGCAATATAATAATTATTTTCAGTAATTAAATTACCCTTTGTTGTAACTGTTTTTTCTTTATATATAAATATATATACCACTTTTATTACATATTTAACAAACATTTTCAATAGAAAATTATAGTGATTAGAGAGGAGAATTGCTCCAACTAACCGCTCTCAAAAGATATCCACAAACATTCTTCTTATGTTTTCCCAGCCAAAATCTGTGTTTTTATGCGATTAATTATATATATTAGATAACATTATCTAATTCAATTAACCTGGCCAATAATTAATTAATTAGATAATACGAGTCAAACAAATCATCAAACTACACATAAAACTGCAATTGAGCTATCCAAATCAAAAGAAAAATACAATTAAGTCTCTGAACAACTCAAAACTATGCAATTAAACTGAATATGACATGTACACCAAGTTGTAAGCTGATGTGATGATTATCTTTAAAAAAAAAATAAAAATTTAAAACTTATTTTAATAATTTTAAATTGTAAATTTTTTTTTTGAATCGGACGATTTAATTACAATTTTTGTGTAATTTGATGACTTATTTAACCATTATTCCATTAATTAGTTTTGTTCTCGAGAACAACGTGGAGTATAGTTCGAGGTGGATTTATTAATCATTGAAATTGATTAGTGGTTAATTTGAACAAGTCGGCCAAAAGTGGTTCTATTATACTCGGACGTACGTTGTTGTCCGATGTTGTAATCAAATCATTCAACACTAAATAACCCACAAATGAAGGACTTATGATAATAATTGTGCTCAATTAATTGTCCTCGATTTTCTAATCTTTTTTCTTTTTCCTGTTTTTTATTGCCTGGAAAGCAATACTAACGGCATTGACCATAAATTTTATCCAGGAATTGGGTACCCGTCGAGTTCGGATTCGACCCGATCATAACTCTGAATACCCGATTTACTGAACATTTCAAATAATTTTTACTCCATGCAAAAATTAAAGTTATGGGATCAATATAATTACAGTCTGGCCTCGCATGGTAAATTCATCTGTGCAGTCAAACTGAAACGTTGCAAACCAAATAACGAAAAGTAGAAATGCAAAAGTTGAAATAAAGGGGAACGTACACATGCATGCATTCCTACCTGCCTGCTGCGTGGTTAAAATTTTATTACTATTTACTTTTTAGATATTGTAAAAGTGGAAGTGTGTCTTAATTGGCTAACAAAGTAATAGATCCTCAAATTCTTGTAAGGGCAATTTCAATAGAAGTAGTTTTGTTTTTTTTTTTTTTTTTTGGTTTTTGGTTTTTGGTTTTTGAGGTGCCCATTAGGAGGGATAGAAGGAAAAAGATGGGAAAAAAAAACAGGTCTGACACAAAAAGGAAAAAAAAAAAACAAAAAAAAACAAAATCAGTGAACGCGCTAGCCGGCGTGTGCACTACACGCGCTCGGGTGGGCACTGTATGTGCGCGAAACGCTCCCAGCTGCGCCTCTCTTCTACACTTTCTCTCTTTTGTGGGACCCACAAAAAAACCAACCTCTTGCAGGCAGCCCCCAAATCTTCTCTCTCCTCCCTCTCTCTCCTTCATATAAGCTATGTTCTCCTAAAAAATTGAGCACAAATCACTATTGTGGTTGCTCTAAGACCATGTTTTTATTTTGGTCCTTGCAAGATTTCAACTTTGTATTTTGCAGCTGCTTCCCGCAATTTACCGTGAGGGACGTACACATGCATGCATGCATGTCGACCTGGTTAATATTTTATCACTATTTACTTGTTAAATTATTATTGTAGATCACAGGACATGCCTCAGCTGGTTAATAGACTCTCAAATGCTTGTATACTAATGCATCAACAAGCCCTTTTCTAGTCTTTGGTATGCTTCGAACCATGCACTCTACGACTCCTAATAAAATAATGCTTATAGACTTATTTTGAATTGGTTGAAGAGCAAATTTAAATTCACAGAATATGAATATGTTGAAATTGGTTATGCATATCATTTTCCTCTTTACCGTTGTAAACCAAAGAAGAGCAGAAAATTAAATTAAACCTTTTTCCAACTTTTGTCGGAAATGAAAGTGTTAACTTTTTTTGTCCAACGGATTCCCAGATAAGAGAATCATTGCATATTTGCATGGACCGCAAACATATAGACAAAACATTTTTTTTTTTAAACCTCAAATTCCCTTTAGTAAGTAATAACATATCGACATTTGGATTTTATAGATGAGGACACAAATAGAAATATTTTATAATATTAAATAATAAAAATGTCGATTACTATAAAAAAAATTGTTTAAAATGGTAATAATTTTTTAAAATAAAGTACTTTAATTTGTGATAATTTTATTTTTACTATTTACAAAATCGAGGCCCATGGCCGAGACCCAGCCGAGCACGGCCTGATGCCTGGGCCGAGGCTCAGGTCACGCTTGGCCTAGCCGAACTCGTGTTAAGCACGGGGCTTCGCCCCGAAGTTTCGGGTCCATCCGAATTTTTCTTGCTTCACTCCTCTGGATCAATTTCTAATATATCCATCAATAATAATAATAATAATAATAATAATTATTATTATTATTATTATTATTTTGATAATTCAAGTTTTTCGATTTTGTTAGACTATAATATGGACCCTATAAACCTATTTTCAGGTCTATGACTCCTATGAGGAGGTAAATTAAGTTAATTTAATTTCGAGATTTAACATCAATTAAAATGTACACGTTAGAATTTAACCTAAATCCAAACTTAAACCCCGAATGTTCCGATTATTATTATTATTATTATTATTATTATTATTATTATTATTATTATTATTATTAAATGGACTTGTTTAATGCAACAAATTAAAGACAAGATTTTTTAAAAATCTCTCTCCCCCTCTCTCTCTCTCTCGTTTGAAATTTAAAGATGCATTGTGTTGTATATGTTTGAAAAGGGTTCAATTTTTGAAAGAGTGTGCAAAAAGGGAAGGGTTCTCTTTGGCTACTTTTCACGCCTACTCTTACACCAAAAAGGATGTTCGGATTCAGTTTTGTAGTTGACAGCAACCAAACATTGGGAGAAGAATTAAACCATGAGTTATAAGCACATAAATGTGGTCCCATGTTTTTCTATAACTAATTTAATTATTTTGTTTTTTTTGGGAACAATATGACTAATTTAATTAGTATAGTATTTGTTGATCTTTGTACCCTGTTGGGTGCCCTAGTTTGGAGCGTAAAATTAGATCTACACAACAATAATCAAGAGATAATGAATAAAATAGTAACAATAAAAATTAGTATAACTACATTTTTATAACGACACTAAAGACTAGAAGAATGTTACAACTTACAAGTATGGAAAAAATGTATTATGTTGTGAATATAATAATAATAGTAATATTATTATTAATAAGATGAAATAGATCAGTAATTATAGTTTAATTCAATGAGTGGAAAAGAGAATTACTATATATTCATATATCATTGTTGCGTATGTTAATATAAGGAGTGGAGGGGATATATATACTATCTGGATTAGGAATAAACAAATATATAATTTGCATGATATGGATAGATGTTAAAGTTAGTCTAGTTCGTTACTTAGGAGGTAATTTTGCCTTGTCATACCCTATGACACGTGTTCCATTCCTAGCAACTACTTTTTGAATTCTTGAGCAAAAATTTGTTCAAAAATATTTTTCTCTATTGAAAATTGTATGTGTGGTTGCACAATCCACAATACATACATCTTCTTCATTTGCCTTAGATTTAATCACAAGTGATGATGTATCCATCTTGTTTCTTCAACAAAACAAGGAAATAACTTTTATTAGAAATATTACAAGGATACCAAGAAGATCTTATTGATCTCCAAGATAAAATCATCAATTTTGATGTTCAACTGGCCCAAGAAAATCTTCCACATTCAACTGTGGGTTATCAAAATCGTTATCCATAAAAACATTGTTAGACTCTATATTTTGTCCCTTTCCTTTCAGGGAAGCTTGATAGAGGTCCACAAAGTGCTTTGATGTACAACAAGCGCGTTCACAATGGCCAGTCTTGCCACAACGATAACATATACTTTCATTTTTGGGATAATTTTCACGTTTTTCCTTGTCGTGTTTTGCACTAGCACTTTCCCCTTTTCGGTGGTAACTTTTATTTTTAAAGTTTTGACCACCATAACGATTTTGACCACGGTATTTTTCATGACAGCAACCGCGTCCATAGCCACGACCACTGCCCTTTGTATTTTCATTATAATATGATACCTCATTCACTTCAGGGAATGGGATTGAGCCAATAGGGAGTGACTCGTGGTTTTTCAACAACAGCTCATTATTTTGTTCAGCCACCAGAAGGCATGAAATCAATTGAGAGTATTTGATAAAACCTTTCTCTGTATATTGCTATTGTAACACCATATTTGATGCATGAAATGTAGAGAATGTTTTTTCAAGCATATCTTCATCAGTAATTCTTTCTCCACATAACAACAACTGAGAGCTAATTTTGAACATAACAGAGTTATATTCGCTCACAGTTTTGAAATCATGCAATCGCAAGTGAAGGTGTGAAGCCAATCATAACAGGCTTTTGGAAGAATTACTGTTTTCTGGTGATCATATCTTTCTTTCAGATCTTTCCAGAGTTGAAAGGACTCTTTCACAGTGAGATACTCATCTTTTAACCCTTGGTCAAGGTGATGGAAAATGAAAATCATTGCCTTTGCTCGATCTTGCATCGAAGCATCATTATTTTCTTTGATAGTTTCACGAAGACCTTTTGCATTTAGATACATCTCAACATCCAATACCCATGACAGGTAGTTTTTTTCCGAATAGATCAAGTCCCACAAATTCAAGATTTGTAAGGTTTGACATATTAGTAATATTGGATAAAATATTATAAATTATATAAAGAAAGATTACCTATGTAATGGTTGCACTCGAGACTTCGTGCTGATAACGTGTTGTGAATATAATAATAATAATAATAATAATAATATTATTATTATTATTATTATTATTATTAATAAGATGGAATAGAACAATAGCTATATTTTAGCTCAGTGAAGGGAAGAGAGAATTACTATATATTCATATATCACTTCTGTGTGTTAATACAAGGAGTGAGGGGGATATATATACTATCAGGATTAAGAATAAGCAAATATATAATTTGCCTGACATGGATAGATGTTAAAGTTAGTCTAGTTGGTTGGTTACTCAAGAGATAGCTTTGCCTTGTCCTACACTAGGACACGTGTTTCATTCCTAGCAGCTACTTTTTGAAGTCTGAAGTCTTGTGCTTCTTCTTGGGCAAGAGCATGCCTTCTTGAGATCTTGTGCTCCTTTTTGAGCAAGATCATGCCTTTTTGAGGTTGAGGGTTTAAAACCCATCTTGGACATCCACTATTTCCTTCTGTTTCATAACATATTATGTATATTTCAATAACGTTTCTTTACTCTCGATTTAGATTTTTTTTTTTTTTCATTTTCCCTTAGAATATGCCATTATTTATATACAGAATGAATGTTTGTATTGTATCTCTATCCAATGAGAGGAGATTAGGTGGCATAATACTGATGGGTTCTGTTTTATGTATCTACCCACAGTCTATTTGTGCGTTCTGATCTGCCTATCTGTTTAGGTGACACGTATCATGGTCATTGGTTCTTGTCTCATGGTCATGGTGCTATACGGTTGGTATAGTAGAGCCTTAGGCTTCCTTTAACATCTCTTATCGGTGCGCTATTTGTCTTGTGTTATATGTTATACAATTTTGTATCTTAACCATATGAATTTTGTACATGACATAAAGTAAATATAATATGCGTACAAGGAAACACCAAAGTGTTACTTCAAGGTGTCACTTAAGATGGATGCATGAAATCAAGAGTTTGAACATATGTGTCACTTAAGCAAGCCCATATGTCACTGAATTTCAGTAATGATGTACAACCAATGACTATGATACGTTTTGACAAAAGTAGTACCACTAAAGTATAGTTTTCTAACATGCATGCCCAGTTTTGAAACTGAAGAGGCTTTAGTGTCATCACCCATCCTTGCCAAAATCATCTTCATCATCCTTCATGTACTTCTCTTGCACTGCAGCAACTGTAATGTTTGTTAAGTGAAACAATATTTTCTGTGCAGTTAACGATCAAGTATGTACGCATGTGAAATCAACAATTGTTTGTGTAGATGCCATAACATCATAGCAAGTGGACTTCTTCTATCAGACTAGAGATTTGCCTAAGGAACAACAAAAACATTAGAGTGAAAAAGGATATCGATAGTAATCCCAGTCAACAGGACCAACTGCGATTTTGCTGAATTCGACTGCACTAGCATCGATGCCAGCAAAGATGTACCCGTTGCTCTTGTCAATCAATTTGACGAGATTTCCAACGCTCTCCTTATCCTGAAATTGCAATTTGGTTTGCGGATACAAAATCATCATTAGAAAACAACAAGTGTGTGACTTTTTTGTGTTTTGGGTGATTAAAGAAAACAAAACTGCTCCCATACCTGAATATCCAATGTTGTGAAATTCACAAGTCCAAAATTTTCTACCACCTCGCAGAGCTCCTTTGTAAGCTTTCTGAAAAGTTAATAAACAAAAGAGAAGGTCATGAAAATTAGGGTGTGTTTGGTTCGCACATAGGAATCGGAATCGGAATGGGTATCAAATACTTGGTAATGGTAATGGGTTTTGGTGAAAGTATTTAACATGTTTGGTAGTAGGGTGGAATGGGAATGGTTACTAATAGGAGTGCTTGAAAATGAATAAGGGAATGAAACCCTTATTGTATTTGGGTATGAGTTTTTCAATTGATGGGGTATTCGAAACCCATATAGTGTTCTAAAAACCTATCAACCAAACAACAACAATCACTTTCATATCCATTCCTATGGGCAAAACCCACCAACCAAACACACCCTTAGTTCCATCTCAAAAAGGCATCTTGGGATTCTTCAAATGACAATCTAAGAAGAATGATGATTATAACAAACAGAAGCAAACAGTAACTGGAGGTAACTTGGAACACCTGTTATATATATAATTGAATAATTGATGCTTCATATGCTTGCAACCCTCTAATCACAGTGAATACAAGAACTCAACATTAACAATTAGGAAGTTTTCCTACAATTGGACGAAAAAAAAAAAGGAATATTGCATTTATACAAAAGATTTAGCCACCTGTACTTAGAAGACCGTGGATCCTGATCAAGATGATACTGCAAGTAAGATAAATCTTGTACATCTGTATAGAAGTCCAGATTAAAAGCTGCAAGTACAAACCAAAACAAAAAAGTGTCAAAAACACAACAGAGTCAAAAAGAGATGCATAAGATGCCTAGATGAGCATCTAAAGAGAATCTGATATGCTTACCTAGCTTTCCGTAACTTTCAATAAGATCAATCTTGGACAGAACATTGACATGGGGTAATTCCAAATGTAGCATGGTTGATAATGACAAAAGCAATGCACTCACATACTTTCCAGGATCACTACATAGATGTGCATCAACTAAATGCACTGCAGTCAACTGCATTAAAGATAAAACTCTTAAGAAAGGGAGTGGTTTTGCCTCACATATATAATACAATGAATCCAAGTGAATGTCGAAAGATGAAATACAGGAAATATCATTTGAAAGGTCTAACTATACCATGAGATTCAATTTCTTAATGAGTTTCATGATCACGGCTTTGGCATTTGAATGAAGGAAAAATAGCTCCACCTGACCCGGGAGATCAAAGAGGAGGTAGTGATCTGCAGGAATCAATTTCAAATAATAGAATCATCAGCTAAGTATTTTCTCAATCATACATCCAAGTACTTCTAAAAAAAAAAGGAGGAAACTTGTATGTTTCTCATGATGGCATATACCTGAGATCGTCAACCTTTAAGAACTAGATTATGCAGAATATTTTATATTTTTCAGCACTTTTAACACTTCTATGTACCTAGCTTGTGTATTAAAGAATCAAGACATCTAGCATTAGCACATTAGATTATTAGAACAGTTCATCAGCCTGTGCATACATTTAACGCTTCATTGCAAAACCTGCTTGTATGGTTTACAGGACACTCAGCCTAGAATATTAAACAACTCTCTTTCCATTTGGTATTAGGATATTATCTTTAATATTTGAATTAATTTCTGCTTGAAATACATTTCAAATTGATCTACTTTGCTACAACTACAAAGGAAGAATTAGTTTACTCTGATATGTGCTCTGATTAAAAGCATGAAAGATCCACAAACATCTAAATACAATCAAGCAAAATATAATAAATTGAGTCTCAATGGAACCTTTAAGGAGAGGTTTCAACTTGGATTCTAACCAGTCAATGTTCTTCTCAAGATAATCCATGCAATATACAAGACCTGCAAGGCATAGTTAGAGAAAAACTGTCAGAAAAAGCCATGTTCCAGTTATGGTAAAAGTAATTATTATTCATTTAAGCATTTAGTGAAAGGCCATAGGGCAGTTCTAATGAGCTTCATACAAACTACAATATACTTGTACAACTGAAATATAGTTGTGTCCTGAGGATATGAACAGGTTCAAGAAACCTAGTGAGCCAAGCACCATCAGAAGTGGGAAAGCTCAACATTTCCTCTGAAGAAAAGGACAAATCTTATTACCATATGGAAAATGGGAAAGAAACAGTACTTCACTACTTCTCATTGCTGTTTTTGTCAATTGCATAAGATGATAGCACGTTCAAAACTTATTAGGAACCTTAAATTCCAGCAGGATAAAACAGAAGTGCAGGAAAAAGCAGAATTACCTCCATTGGGACCTAGAGAATGCTCAACCATCACATCACTCAGTTTAACGAGATCCTCAATATTAATAGCACACTCGTATCTTTACAACATAAGGGAGAACAGACTGAGCTCTATTTCAATACCCATCAAGCTATGGACATTGAAATGTCATTAGGCATAATACCATACAAATAGCTTAATCAAAAAGGATACGGCAAAGAATCATTTGCAGGATCCAAGTTAATTACAGCAACTTTCCTACAATACAATTATTAAAAAGTTATTAGGGAATAAAGAACTCAACCATACAAATGATGAAATGAACTCCTATTTTTTCTAATGTAAATTTACACACAATTTGAAGTTCGAAACTCTAACCATCTTAACAAATACTTCAGGCACACCAGAGTTCTGTGAGAAAAATAAAAGCCAACAAATAAGATTTAGGAAAGTTTAGGGTAATTACCGGCCAATGAGTTGGAGAAACTGAGACATGCCATTGCAATAAGTGGTTTTGCCGGAGCCCGGCGGCCCAATCACTATCTGACCGAACACCATTCCTGTTATATGGAATTACCTTTTTTGCTCTCGGATACGCGAACTATGAGCTTAAGTGTTCGCTTCAATTTCGCCGAGGGTGAAAAGTAATCAAACACCTATCTATTACCAAACTTTTGTAATTTGACTAGGTTTGGACTATAATAACTAGAAGTTGTTTACTTGAACCAAGACTAACTGCTATTATTCTGAATGTCTACCATTTAAGAAGGCATGATATCAACTTGCGTGGACGATGCTATTGAGCCAAGCTAATAAATTGTGGACAATACTAAAAATACACAATTTATTAGCTGAACTCTAGATGGTGTAATGAGCCAAGCTTGGGTGGACGATGTCGATCTTTGGGTGTCGACGACGAGACTTGGAGTCGCGGCCGGGGTCTCGACTGGCTGGGCTTCCCGGAGAACAAACGCTTCTTCAGTTCGTCGCCGAGTGGAGAGCTTGCTGCTTCTTCCCTTTTCTCCTCATCAGGTAGGGTTGCTTTTGGTTTTAATAAATGAAGAAGATTGCAAAAAAAAAAAAAAGGAATAAGGTTCAAATTGGCCACTGAACGTAACCTAAAAATGCAATTAGGCCACTGAATAAAAAAAAAGTGCAATTAGGTCATTGAACACTCCAAAAATGTGCAATTTCACCTAATAGCAGGTTACCCTCAAATTTAGCAGGTTATCTGCTTACGTGGCAGCTGAGTTGGCATTTTTAATAAAATTTAATTAATTTTTAATAAAATTTAATAATAAATTTTTATTAAAAAAATTTTTTTAAAAATAAAACGACTTTATTTTATTTTTTATTTAATTTTTTCCAATTTTTTTTATAAATTTTATTATTAAAATTAATTATTAAAAATTATTTAAAAATTATTAAAAATGCCAACTTAGCTGCCACGTAAGTAGGTAACCTGCTAAAATTGATGGTAACCTGCTATCCGGTAAAATTGCATACGTTTGGAGAGTCCAGTGGCCTAATTGCACATTTTTTGAGTGTTCGATGGCCTAATTGCACTTTTTTTCGTTCAGTGACCTAATTGCATTTTCAGGTTACGTTCAGTGGTCAATTTGAACCTTATTCCAAAAAAAAAAATGAAGAAGATGATGGATTATATGATTTGGGCCGGGTCAGGTCCATTTGGGCATACCTGGTCTAATTTTTTTAAAAAATACATTTTGGACCTTCTATGGTTTATTTGGGCTTGCTTCAGTTTTTCCTTCATTATATTTGAAATCTTCTAGTTAATTGATCAATTTAATTTCTAAAGTTTTGTGGAAATAGTAACTCAATAAAATTCTAGGTGTTAATCATCAGATGGTAAAACGTGTAACCGAATTATCTAAAACAGTATGCACTAGTTCAAGTTGTGGTGCAGTGGGAAATTAAGACACAGAAGCAGAAGTAAGAAGTGAGTAAACATGCACAAGAACACAATAGGTTTGTTAATCCAGTTTAGAATAGCCATTCTTATGTGTGGAGGCATCACAAGATGATTTGCTCAACTCTTCATTCATAACTAGTTGAACGTGTTTACTAAACAAACAGCTAAGAACGAAGACTTTGAACTTGTGGCTAATCTTTAGCGGTGTAGGTGTGTCAAAGTTTTCAATCCTGCAAGTTGAAACTCTCCCGAGAACTCAATTGTGGTTTATGGTCTGAGATCATCAAGCATAAAAAATCAACTTGACATAAATAGAATATTCATCAAGTTGCTCTGCTTAAGCTTCATTGAAATGCCATTGAAAGTATTATGTGTATGCTGAGTAACTTCTTGGAATTCATCAAACTAATTCGCTTGTAGAAGATGGACACTTATATCAGTCCTTCCGAAATTTGCTTTAAGTGCATAAATGTATTGGACTTCACACTGAACTAGTCTTTGTGTTTAGTTTATCCTTAGTATTCCATATTCGTCTTTAGATAACCTCCGAACTAAGTCTCCTATTTAGTACATACTCAATCTATTACAAAATACAAACACTTTTTTGAACTAAATCATGAACGATTGAATTATTCCATATAACAAAAACAACTTGGAGGAGTGAAAAATATTTTTTCTCAATGATCAATATTTTATTAACCATTTCTCATAATTTGAACCAAATAAGGTAATATAACATAACAAACTCAGATTACCTGAACTAAACACCCCCTTATAAATAACAAATATTTTATTTATAAACAGTATATAATATATTTTAATACAAGTATTACATTGTCATATTAACCCGGTTCCATCTGACCAATAAGAATATGTATGTCTCACACAAGTATATCGTTAAATTAATGATAGTTAATGTCATTGTATTAAGCAAATTAAAATAAAAATATTAAAACCTTTCAAGTACCCGTAAAAATTGTCTATTGTCATTTTTTTTTTATTTAAACCATTAAGTATACACAATTTTTTTTTGCAATGAAGTATACACAATTTAATTTAGTTTATATGTAATTATTTATCAACTAGGTGTTTTAATTAGAGCACAGTTCCTGTATTTGCGCGTATTTGAAATGTCACAACTCTCAAGAGGGGTGACTCCCTTCTTCCTCAACATTCGTCACCCCATCCACCCACTCAATCCAACCCCTCCCCCCTACCCCGGTGGGCCCCACACTGCAAAGAATTCCTGATTTCCCTCCTTATTAGCACGTCCTGCATATCATCTCCAGCCTGAGCTAGCATTTTTTTTTTTCTTTTATTTCTCCTTTTAACTGATTTTTCTACGCCCTGAGATGTCTGATACACAGGCGGAGCTTTTGCTCCCGGCGGAGATTCTCGACGGCGATTTACGCATGGACCCGTTCGCGTTCGGGTCGCCCGGTGTCAAGACCAAGCCCGACCCGTCACTCTGCTTCCCCGCGGAGTTTCCCTACCATGTGTTCTCCGGTTTCCCCGAGATCGAAAGCGACGAGGATGACTTCCTTGCTGGGTTAACTCGCCGCTTGACTCGGGTCTCTCTCGACCGCGCTTACAACTACACTTCTGCTCACCGTCAGATGGAGGTACTCTTTTCCGGCGTTTAGTTTCGGAACTGAAAAATCTCCGTTGTGTGTTCTGAGCTTTGGGTTTTTTTTTTTTTTGGCTTAGGATGGTAGCTTACTATCAGGTTCACCTCAGTCCATGCTGAACCGGGTACGTAGCTTGTCGGGTCGGAGCGGCGGGTCAGGCAATGGACCTTCTATGGCGTCGTCTCCGAGTACTACTACGCGGCTGGAAGCTAAACACGACGACTGGAATCTGATATACCAAGCCGCCGGTCAGGTTGCTAAGCTAAAAATGAACGCCGGCGATGGGCCCTTCAGGAACCAATGTCTTCCCGGCGCTCCTCGAAATATCAACTCCGTTCATCCGGTGAACGTCCCCCAATCCGCCATGCCCGATGTCCATGTAAGCGTTTTGTTGATTTTTTTTAGTACCCAATTGTTACTTTTTTCAGACTACTTTTTTTTTACTATTTTTCTCCATTGTATAGTTTCGTGAAGCAAGAGGGGACCAAGCAGCGAAGCAACAGGAATATATTATGTGGAACCGGCAACAGCTACTGCAGAATCGAAGAAACCGGGTCGGGTTGGAGTCTGGGCCATTTCTGGAAAGCGAAAGGAGGAGGGGACAGGTACTTGGATGGCCTTCTCAGCAAGTGGACAATCAAACCCAGTTTTCCAGGTCGAACATGAAAACAGCTTTTCTCGGCGGCGGCGGCGGCGGAGGTGGGAAGCGGGAGTGTGCTGGCACCGGTGTCTTTTTGCCCCGGAGATACGCCTGTTATAACGGCAATACTCCCACAGATTCTCGCAAGAAGACAGGTACAGATAATTCTCCGTTTGTTTTCCAATTTCTCGCGAAATTTTACTGAGCCCATCATATTTTGGGTGTAATTTGCGTCTCTAATGCTTGGATTATGGCGGAAACTCGGGCTCTTAAATCAGTGTGTTAAGTCCCGAGTTGTTGCTTCTGAGTTCTGACTCAGTACTACTGAAAAAGGCTGATTCATTACTATCATCAGATAAAGAAAAAGGAGCTGCTTTTCAGCCCTCCTACTACTGCTTTAGTCTTGGTCTTTCTTTAAAATAGGAAAAATTACGTATCAAAGGCTCCAAGATAATACTGTGACAACGTTTTCAAACCCTGCCCTGTCTTTCCTGGTCCCCTCTCACTGTGAAAGCATGAAGCCTATGATGTTTTCTTGATTTGGATAATTAGCCTTAAGCAATCTGGTAATCTTAGTTTCTTTAATGGTTTTGCTTTTTTTTTTTTTTTTTTTTGAGTTATCGGAAACCTGGTTAAACCCTCCTTTGTGAACCTAGCCAGCAAATGACTACAGAGATAACCAGCTTAGGTTGCGCATAGCTAATCAGTTCAAACTAAAAAGACCAATACTCAATAGACCGCTCCTATGAGAGTCGAACTTGTAACTTTGTGATTAATAAGTCAATATGTTGATGAACTTGGTTGGGTTGTCCCAAATTTTGTTTCTTTTGAGTGGGTGTGGAATTGTCAATGGAAAAAGGGAGGAAAAGTGTTTGGTGTAGGCTTGAATGTGAGAAAACAGGTTTTTCCTTATTCTTTCTGCTTTGTGCCATCTTTTAAGTGGATGAGTTTATGCTAAGCACCTGCTTTTTTATCTGGAATTTTTGGTTGTCATTGCGGTCAATCTGGAGCGTATCTTTCTTGCTTTTCATGTCATTTTCGTTCGAGTATGTGTGCGATTGCATCACCATAAACAGTTCATTACTCGTGACAGAACAATCTTGAGTTGTTGAGTGTATCCATATGAAAGTCTGTCAAGTTCACACACTCTGTTCTCTCGAATTAGACCAGTAATAGCACTGATGAAAATCGTATTTTTCTGTTTCTTGAAAACCAGCGTGCCCTGTGGCGTTGCATACAGGTATGAACAAGAAACCCGTGGACTCGACTGGCTTGGTTCAACCTCAGCCACCATATATCACAGATGGTATGCATAATATAACTTGAACTGAACTTTCATCCTGGAAATCGAAACTTTTGTCATCTTATTAGTAATGTGTTTTAGGATTTGCATATGCAGAAATCATGATTTCCAGAAGGCGTGCTGCAATGCTATCACAGCAAGTGAAGAATATGCGCCCGGATGGAGGCATCAACCATGAACCACAACTTCCTCAGGAATGGACATATTAACCTTGAACTATTTGGAAATTCAGGTTCTGGGGGGTAGTAAATGTGGTAGATAAGTAGTGTTAGCTAGACCATTGATAGAAAAAAAACAAGAAAATGGTGTTTGGATTTTCAAGAATTGATGAATGATGGATCAGATGGTAGTAGATGAGCAGCAATAAAGTGGTTTTACCCATTTCTGTTTCTGGTAAATCTTCACCTCTGAAATTATATGCATCTTTTGTCAGCTTTAGAGGTGGAAGAAAGGAAAAAGTGTTGGTCAGAGCAAGGAGGGATCTTTTTGTTTTTGTAAAAATAAGAAAATTAGTGGTTCTGAGGAAGAATTGATCTGGGGATGTGAAGGTTTATAAGAAGAAGATGCAGATCCGGACGATCAGCGAACAAGACAGTCCCATTTCTAAGTTTGATATTCGGAGTGGTTCTCCAATCTTTCTTCTATCATTGTAATGTTCTATCTTCGGACTTGAACTAATATGAAGTAATTTTCTAAAAAAAAAAAAAAAAAAAAAAAAAAAAAAAAAAAGAAGAAGAAGAAGATGCAGATCCAGATTCCTCCTTGTACTGCACAATATTATTGTAATAAGAAGTTGTTAGTGTTTTCTTTAATCCCATAATAATAATTAGTTCTGGATCCACTCCTAACTGTTTCTTCATATTGTCATTTTTAAATTCCAAAAGATATTGATGAGTATTTGTACCAAATGAGGAATTTTTTAATGAAAAGTTTTAAAACATCGATTAGTTATTGATGAGAATTTGTACAAAATGATGAATTTTTAAATTGAATATTTTAAAGGGAAAATGGCATTTTTTCTCCTTGAGTTATATACTTATAGCACTTTTCTCCCCTCAATTATTCAAGTGGCTATTTTTCCCCTTAAAATGTTAAATGAACATATTTACCCTTAAAATAAATATTTTATTTATTTTTCTTCTCCAACAAATTATGACCATAATTTGGTTCAAACCAAATAAACACTATAGCAACCAAACCGAAATATTCCAATTACAATTTAGAATCGAAAATCGATATTTAGAGTTTATTAAAATTCCGGAATGGACGGTTCATGTTCCGAACTGAAAAAATAAAATACATTTATTGTTGAATTTAGATTATTTTTAAAATAAAAATAAAATTTTAAAATAAAAACGGTTCAAAATCGCGAATCGGGTCCGGAACCGCTGGTTCACGGTTCAGGATCCAATTTCTTTGATTCATAATTTTAATAAATTGAAATCCAAATATTGGGTTCTAGATCTGAATCATAACCGAAAACTTTTAATTCGATTGCTATAGTGTCCGATTCAGTTCGAACCGAATCGTGGTCATCCCTACGTATACGCAATAATTTGTTGGAGAAGTAAAATAAATAAAATGTTTATTTTAAGGGTATAAATGTCAATTTAATATATTAGGGGGAAAAACCACCACTTTTAGAATAATTGAAGGGGCTAATGTGCTTACCTAAATAATTGAGGGGGAAAAAGTGCTATAAGTATATAACTCAGGGGGAAAAAGTGTCATTTTCCCTATTTTAAAACACTCACTATTATTCTTAAGGGGTGTTTGGTTGGCATGAATTGCATTGAAATTAAATTGCAATTCAATGAAATGATAAACTATAGTTATTTGTCCTTGAATGTTATTATTAATAGGGAAAATGGTCAAATAGGCCCTTGAACTTTAGCTTAAAAGTTAATTAGGCCCCTAAATTTTTTAAAAGTGCAATTACACCCCTCAACAATTCATTTAAGTGCAATGAAGCCTAAAAATAAATTAATGGCCTGCTATTACAGGTCATTAGGGTTCAGACCATTTTCCAGTGAATTTTCTGACAAAAAAAAAAAGTTACCAAGGAAATTTTCGACAAAAAAGTGATCGGTGAAATTTTCGGAAAAAAAAAAAAAAAAAAAAAAAGAGGCGGCAGAATGATGTGAAATAACAAAAATCTGGTGGGCAGTTGGTAAGGGAGTAGGGAAGTGAAAAGAATATGAGAGAAATGGATAAGTGGGGAAGATATGGGGGGTTAAATAGCGATGCGACACGTGTGTGGTTTAGTACGAGGCAGTTAAGGATTAGGTAACATGTTTTCGCGCTTCTTTTTTGGATTTCAAAGCGGATTGGTAACGTAGCTGTCTTCCTCTACTTCACATATTCATCATTTGCTTTCAAATGCCAAAAATAGTAGTTGTCGATTTGATTCTCGTGTCATAGACATAGCTTCAAAATTGTGAATTTTAGTCCATTTTTTTATCCAAAAAAGCAGACAACAATTTTATATTTCAAGATTGTTTTTTGTTTTTTTTTTTTCTATTTTTTAAAAAATAAACCATTCAAGATTGTTGATAAATTGAAAACCCTAAAAAAAACATAATTTTTACATGAAGCAATTTATGAATGTCAAAAGCAATTATCAAGGACTTTTTGGTGTACTGGTACCAAGTTGCTCCTCTATATGGGAGGTGGTGGATTTGAACCTTGGTGGGGACAATTATGGTGACATTTGATGTACTAGCATAAAAACAGTGATTGAAAATTGTGCTTTCAACCGGAAACTATGACCTTGTTTGGAAATTGTGTTTTCAATATCTTTTGGAATTATATCTGCGATCTGTAAAAAGATGTTTGGTAAAATTAGCGGTATACATATAATAATAATTAATTTTTTTAAAAAAAGAGAAATGTGATGTGGGATCAAATCTGATCCCACATTGAAAATAAATAAACAAAAAAAGGACGTTGAGCTCCCTCATTTAAAAGGGGAGATCAACGCCCCATTTTGCATCCCAGCCCATCCGATTCCCACATCGGATGGGCGGGGAATTAAAAGCCTCAGGCTTCATTATTAATGAAGCCTGAGGCTTCTCATTTTAATAATAATAATAACAACATTAATTTTAATTTTTAATTTTTAATTTTTAATTATATAAGGGCATTTTGGACTTTATGCCTAAGAGAAACGCTCCTATATGCATAGTTTCTAAAATCAGCGGTTTGGAGCAATTCGTTGCTCCAAACCATCGTTAACCAAACAATGACTTCGACGTTTTGACCGTGATCAAAACATCAAAGTCTGCGAATCCGATAATAATCAAACATGGCCTATTTATTTCTAACCACTTTTAGATAGTAAAAAAACAGAAGATTTCAAATAGATACTCCGTAATATATATTATTTCCAACTAAGATTTAATGATATGTTTATTGTAATTTCATGTTTTTCCATTCAACATCCGAGTAATTAATATGCCACCATAGTCTTTTTTTTTTTTTTTTTTTTAATTTAATTTTATTTTTTGAACGCTACTTGAAACTCGAAATCACAACCTCCCATATGAGAGTCTAACTCAAGTGTAGGGGTGTTAGCGAACAGAGTTTTCAACAAACTACTCGTGTTCGTGTTCGGTAAGCTAAGCGTTCGTTTATGTTCGTTTGTTAAGGTAAACGAACCATTAACAAACAAAAATTAGAGCTTGGTTAATAAACGAACAGAGCTTGAACAATTGTATGTTCATTTGCTAAGAGATCGTGAACAAGCTCGTTTGTGTTCGTTTAATAATGTTTGTGAACAAGCTCGTTTAGTGTTCGTTTAATAATGTTCGCGAACATGAACGTAGATTATTTCTTGTTCACGAACGAATTGGGATCATGAACATGTGCAGGTGTTTGGTTATTAAAGGTTCATGAACGTAAACCAACATGTTCGTGAACGTGTTTGTTAACGTTAACGAACACGTTCGTGAACGTGTTCGCGAACGTTGACAAACACGTTCGTGAACGTTAACAAACACTAATGAACGCTTAACAAACGAATACGAACAGCATTTTCAAAAACCTTAACAAACGAACACGAACAGAAACACCCCAAAATTCTTAACAAACGAACACGAACAACCTTCGTTCATTTATGTTCGGTTCGTTATCCGTCCTACCCAAGTGCCATTAGACTACAAGGTCTTGGCCCTTTTTGCTTATTATTATTGTTATTATTTTAAAATAAAAACATTCTTGTGAAGTGTTGGGAAAATATTGCCGAAACGAATAATAATTTTTTTTTTCAGAACTATAGACAAGTTTAAATATATATGAAAAAAAAAAGACAAATATTTGTAGGGACAATTTTAGTAATAAATAGCAATCTAATAACTATTAATACATCCGTCCCATTTTATAGTTAACGCCGCTTAACTAAAGTTATTTTTAATATTGTTAAGCTTAGTATTTGTATATAAAATTTATATATTTAAAAACTAAATTAAAAGTACTATTAAATACACAAAAAATTTAAATTTAAAATAAATAAAAAACATTAAAGAAAATAAGCAAAGAATATAGAGTTGGTTTGACCAATAAATAGTAAACATGACAAATAAAATGATTCGCACAAGATATATAATGTAATAAATATCACATAAATTAGGAAATAAAGGAGTAAAGAAGTGAGGAAGATGAATGCAATCCTTAGATGATATTACAAAGCAATACAATGGTCTATTTACACACAAAATAATGGAGAATATCTCACATGACATGTGTTTTGGTAAAATACCTACAAATTAATTAAAATATGTGCAAACAAATTGCATTACGTAAAGTTACAATCAAATCCTCATAAAGCTCTAGTAAAAAGTAAAAACTAGCGTAACAACTTCCGTATGTTAATATACAAGTGATGAAGTTACTTATCTTACCATAATAGCCATTAGTTCATTACCTCAACATATTATAAGTATATATGAAAAAGAAAACATACCAATTCTAAGAATGCGTAAATAATTGATCATGATTAAGAATTCCTTAAGTAAACATCAGAATTTGGAAAGACTATGATAAGAAGCATTATCATGACCTTAATCCAATTCGTTACGCAAAGTTAGTAACCTAAACAGAGATACAACGAACACAAATTAGAGGTCAACCAAAAACATATCTTATAATCTGGGTTTACCTCAACATTGGAGGGTGCCGTGACTGCTGGCTGTTTTATTTATTTATTTATTAATAATTATTATTTAATCCCAGTTTCTGGGTATATAATAATTAATAAAATGAAATAATCAGGGGTTTATTATAACTTGATGATACATTAATTTCCGGATTATATTAATGAATAGATGGATTAACGTTGACGCATGATGGACAGCGATACGCCCATAATTCATGCTTGAGGCATCCACGTTTCTACAATCATTGTTTGTTCATGGACCAATTCTTATAGTATGGACCAGGTGCAAGGTGGACCCTAGTCCTAATTTGAATATTATTAATATTGGAATTATAGATTTATAGAATATAAATAGCATTTCTAAGTTTTGAAAATTTGTAGATACAATACAAGGTCATCAAAAGTTATGAAATTTTAAAATTTAATTGTGAACATTTAGTATGTAAAATTATGTATCTTTTTGTTCGAGTCCACATTACAAGGTGGACCTCGGTCCACAGAATAATTTGCCCTTCAAGACAGCATGCATGCTTGTTATCATGCCTATTATTATTATTATTATTATTATTATTATTTCCAAAAGAAAATGCCATTTTTTATTCTCATGGTTGTAACTTGTAAGACGTGGAAGAAGTGCGTGTTGCGCGTCGTTTATTTTTATTATGAATTTTTTTGTTGATTTTAATTTTTTGAAGAGCTGGCCAAATGCTTGGGCAATCATATCTTTTGTTACAAATTAAATCTTCGGAATTAAACTAGTTATTATCGGATCCTAAAAATATATAATGAACTAATTTGGCTAGTTGGCATTTGATGGATTTAGTCAACTTAGAGTATTTGAAAGTCACGTTTGAATATATATATATATATATATTTTGTCACAATAAGAAGTGTATGAGAGGTAAAGAAGGACAAGAGTCTATACAATCGGTCGGTTTAATTGTATATATTGTTTTCTCACCGTATGAGGGAGCTATAAAGGAATTAAAGACGAATAATCGAGTATTCGCAATTGTTAGATTTAACTGTATATATTGTCTTCTCACAGCCTCAGGGGGGATATATAGAAGGACAAAAGTGTATGCAACTGGTCGGTTTGTCAGTGTATATTGCATTATCATTGCCTATAATTTCAAACAGAGAAACTGTATGTGTCCTCCCTTAATTGTTAGAGAACCCCTAGCTAATCTTAGACAAAGAAAATGGTCTATCATCCCTTAATTGTTAAAGAGTTGCTGTCTATACCACAAGCAAACAAATCAACATAAGTTGTCAATAAATGACCAACTCAGATTATGATGGTCATTAACCAATATATAATTTCTACAAAAAGTAAAATTTCAATATTTGTAATTATTAAATCAACTGTTTCACCATCTTCATTGGTTGGTGGCAACCCTATAAATGATTGACCTTTGAAGTCATTATGAGCCTACATAATGACATAATTGTGATCATGACTTAAGATATGAATGGCCACTGCTCCTTGCAGATAGGCACAACTTTGGCTAAGTTTTTACATAGTTGACTTTCATCTTGGAATGGGCCGGGCTTGGTAGCTTTGGGCAGCCTTCGAATTAGGTACTTGGTACCACATATTCTGTTTATGGGTTTGGTTTAAAATGACCCATAGGCCATAGCTCATAGCCCATATCGCCATGATCACACTTAAACTAGATCGGATTGAAGATGTGGGAAATATACTTTATTTTTATTCATTAATCTTTTATAAAGTAGAAATTATTAATTTATTTTTGAAAATGATGTTTTGGGAAAAAAACATCATATAAATTCAGCAGTTTCATGCACTATATACTTTTCTGAGCTGCCATACAACTTATGTCCTTAATCAACCTGTCCAAATAACACCAAGAAGAACCACCTTTGCTAACACTTTGTTTTGCCAAATTTGCCATCTTCTCTGCCCTTTCTAAGAACTCATCTTTCCTCACTTCCATCAAATCTCTTATTTTCTTCTCGATATCGACTCGATCGCATGAGCTCTTTATGGTCACGCCGAGCTTCCAAACCGTTTCAACCATCCTGGCATTCACGGGTTGGTCCGCGAAGTGCGGCCAGCAAATCATGGGCACTCCGCAAATTATACTCTCGAGGGTCGAGTTCCACCCGCTGTGAGTCAAGAACCCGCCCACGGCCCGGTGCGATAAGGCCTCTTTTTGCGGCGCCCAGCCCACAATATAAGCGGTGGTTTTTGTGATCTTCTCCTTGATTTCCGCCACGAATTTCTCCCCTCCGTCGTCGTCGGTGACGGAGCCGCGGCGGATCACCCACAAGAACCGCTGTCCGCTGTTGAGAAGGCCGTGCCAGAGCTCCGTGAGCGTTTCCCTTGAAACGGTTATTAAACTTCCAAGGCTGACGTAAATAACCGACTTGTCGGGCTGTCGGTCGAGCCATTCCATGCAGCTCCTGTCTTCTTCTTCTTGCAGATTAATATACTGTTTGATTGATTGGGCTTCGAGTTTGGCCCGCAAGTGGGCGTGGAATGGCCCGATGGCGTACAGGTTTGGAACCCGGGCCCGAATATGATCGAGCATGGGTTTTTCCAGATCCTCAAACGTGTTGAGTATTAACCCGATGGTTTTAGGATGTCTTGTCTCCGACAGGACGAACTGGAAACTCGGCGCCGATAAATCGTCCACTCGGCAAAAACTGGGTAGATCGCCGCGTCGGAGGAAATCTTCCATGCCCTCCACGCTGCCCACCGGCTTGTCCAAGTCGTTTCCTGCCATTTAAAGTAAGCCCATTATTAAGGTTTGATTCCATGCAATATGCATATGTCTACTCTGTTTATTTGAAGGTTCAGCCCTCAACCCCTTAGTTGTATCGAAATTAATATACAAATTTCTACTTTTGTGATAAGGTTATAAAATAGTTTAATTGATGACAATAATTTATGTGAAATCTTCTTACACATCTGTATTCGTAAGATAGATTGGATCATGATAAATATAATACTTATATTAGCAAATGTATTATTAATTATGAATAAAGTAGTGTTTGTTACTTATAAGCAAACCATAACATTTTAAGAAGTCAAAGTAGGAGAGAAAAGATTGGAGGCGCGAGGGAAAAAGAAAAAAAATAATATGAAAAAGTCACATTAACGCGCCTAGCAGGTGCGTGCCATGCACACGCTTGAGTAGGCACTCCTGGTGCGCGTGAGGCGCACCGGGCGGATTTATTTTGTTTTTAGGTGGGGCCTACAAATGAATTTACTCTCTCTTCTTCTTCTCTCACTTCCACTTAGGGGATCCTCAATAGTGAGATTTTTGGAGTGGCTTTTGATGTGCCAACTAGGAGAGAGAAGGAAAAGGAGAGGAAGAAACAAAAAAAAAAAAGGAAAAAGACATAAACTTACGCCAAAAAAAAAAAACACACAATGCTTGACACGCCCTGTGCCGTGAGACCCACAAAAAAAAACCATTCTTGCAGGAGAAGCTCAAATTTTCTCATTTCTCCCTTTCTCTCCTCCACATCACCTATGTTACTCTAAAAAGCGGTGCAAAATACACTAAGGGCATCCCCATTAAGGGGTTCTTTCACGTTTTAAAAGAAAATGATGCTTTGTTGGAAGAGAGAGAGAGAGAGAGAGAGAGAGAGAGAGAGAGAGTGAGGAGAGAGAGAGTAAGTGAGTGCTTCTTGCAAGACATGCGGATTTTGCAGATTTGTGGGGCCCAGTGTTTGAGGAGAGAGTTGCGCCTCACATGCGCGAGTCGAATTCTCGCGCCCGCCTGGGCGTGTAATTTATTAATTATTATTATTATTATTTTTCGATTTTAGTTTTGTTTTTTTTTCTCCCCTCCCATTTTCTCTTTCCTAATCACACCTGTAAAATCTTCACACTATTGAAGATGCCCTAATGGGGATGGCCTTAGGATACATGGCCTTAAAAATTGAAGTAATTCTACATAAACTTTCAATTTCTACTCCATTTTCTAATTCCTATGACATCATTAACATGGCATGTCTTGATTACTTTAAAAAAAGATTAAAAAAAATACATGAAGTATTTTTCTAAAAATTGTGCAAAAATCATGCCAAAAACATTGATGAAGATGTCTTAACTTATACTCAAATTCCTCTTAAAAAAAAAAAAAATTACACTCAAATAGGTCTGCAGTAGCCATGCTAGCCAACCGACACCTATAATAAATGACGCATCAGACCTTGTACAAATAATTCCTCAAACCTAGATTGCATTTATGATCATCTCCGTATCTTATTACTTCTCGCATGACCGGTCATTTTTACAGTTACATGCATCATGCTTTACTTTAGAGTTTATTATCAAAATGGTCCCTTGACTATTACGAAATTACTAATTTGATCCTCGACAATTTTTTTACCCAATAAAGTCCTCGACTTTGAAAATGTTAACTATTTTGGTCCTCCGTTAAAATTCCATCTATAAGCTGTTAAATTTAAGGATAAAAAGGTAATTTTATATATTTTATTTAAGGATAAAAAGGTAATTTAAGGACAAAAGTGAAATGCCGGCCGGAGCTCCGTCACATCTGACGAAATTAAAAAGATAATTTCGTCTCCCTCACATCCAATGCGAACAGAGCTCCTCCGAAGCAGCAAGATCCGGTGAAGTAGATTGACGGCGAAGCAGCAAGATCTGGTGACCTTGAGTTCTGCTCCGGCGGCTACATCGGTGAACTCCAGTAGCGGCGATGGTCTCCAATGCTGCAGTAGCAGATCCAACGGTGGTTTTCGTTTCTGATTTACTTTTGGGTTTTTTAATATCTGATTTGGGTTGGTTTCACAACGTGAAGGCGCTGGATATGAACCGGTGGCCGGCGGGCGCGACGGCGGAGGAGGCCGAGGACGCGGCGGTGCTGTTGTCTCCGAACAACGCGGTGGCCACGGATTGTGAACCAGCCCCCATTCGATGACCATGCGAAGGAACCCAGAACAGTAAAGGAAGAAGAAAAGCTTTAAAACCAGTTCCTCTTGACAGTTGACACTGGTGGTTGAGGAAGATAATTCCAACTCATAGGTAAGGGTTCGAAACTAGTAACCGGAAGAAAAGTTTTAATAAATAAAATATATGAAATTACCTTTTTGTCCTTAAATTTAACAGTTTATGGATGAAATTTTAACGGAAGACTAAAATGGTTAACATTTTCAAAGTCGAGGACTTAATTGGGTAAAAAAAATTATCGAGGACCAAATTAGTAATTTTGCAATAGTCGAGGGACTATTTCAGTAATAAACTCTTTACTTTATCAATAATAAGAACATATTCTTTACTCTCCATCTCTATTTTGAAGTAAACACACACTCCTTGTTATAAAGAAATACTCCCTCCGTCTCATTTTATGTGTCTATTTCAATTAACGATGCTTGACTGAAATTATTTTTAATTTAATTTTTCATAATGTTAAGTTTGATATTATTATACAAAATTTATATAGTTAGAAACTACACTACAAGTACTATTAAACACAAAAAATTAAATTTAAAAATAAGCAAAAAATTATAAAGAAAATAAACAAGGCAAAAATAGTTGGTTTGACCAATGAATAGTAAGTAGGACATATAAAATGAGACAAAGGGAACATATGTTTGGGTTTAGCTAAGTTGGTTGGATTATTGTTAGCTTGATAATCACAAGATTTCAAGTTAGATTTTTTGTGGGAGGTCACTTATGTGTAACTGGTTTACAAAATAAAAAATAGTGATGTTTAAAACTATGATGAATAGTAACTTTTTTGTTTGAGTCAGTAAACTACTTGGACAACCTAGACAGATTTACTTGGAGCAGTGTTTTTCTGGTAATAGCGGCATATTTTCCTAGTCACAAAAAAATGATGTTTAAAACTATGATCACTAACCTTGGAAGGGGAGCTCTTTGGCTTGAATTAAATTAGGGATGGAGAAGAAAGTCCAAACCGCAGATGCACAAACGGTGCGGAAGTAAATCACGGGAATGCCTAAATCTTCAGCTACTTCACGTACGAATCCCAGAATTCCGTCAGCTATCACACAACTCACCGCCCCTCTACCGCCGCTAGCCACCCCACCGGAACTGATCAACTCTTTAAGAGCGGGTTTCGCACTGGCTCTCAAAGAAGCATGAACATCCAACAACCGCTTCTCCTCCGACCGCGGTTGGTCGTCGGGAAGGCCGTCGGAGATGGACTCGAAACGGAACCCGGTGTACCGGCGGCTGAAATGGGACCGGAAGTCGGCGTTGCTTAAGAGGCGTTTGTGGTTGTGGACGGTGTTGATGAACGTGACGTGGAGGCCGCCGAGGCTGAGAAGCTCGGCGAGGTGGAGCATGGGAGTTATGTGGCCTTGGAATGGGAAAGGGAAGAGGAGGACGTGAGGGGGAAACTGCGTCGACGTTGCAAGCTTTTCAGCCATGGCGTCGGCGAAATGAAGTGTACTGGTTAGCTAGGTGGAGACCTTCAATCAGGGTTGTTTGGTTCCACTCAAATGTATCTCAGTTGGTACATATCTCTATTATATCTCTATCTATCTACTATACTAATAAGAGCCCAAGAGAGTTAGGCCTATAATGGGTAGAAAAAATGGCGGTCAAGTTTTTTAATCAAATGAATTACTCAGATTGATCAGATTTTATTTTTTTCCTTTAAATTTCCTAATTTATCCTTAATGAATATGATTATCCGTTAACTTTTCCGTTAAATATTATCTTTTCCGTTAATTTTGGTTAGTTCACCGTTAACTTACTCATTGATTTCAATAAGAAGGTATTAGGTTCGAACCTCATCCCAATTAAAATTGGCATAATTAGTACTCTATTTTACTCTTATAAAATTAAATAATAATTTAGTAGCTACAACAAAAAATAATACATATGCATTTCTTTAATTTAGAATAGAATTATGTCTCTACAACGTCTTTATTTAAAAAAAAAATTATTATTATAAATAAATTAAATAAGAGAAATAATTTCATTAGTTATATTGTATTTATTCTTCTCCAATATAAAAATTCTTTACATTCAAATTCATCAATTGATTATATTCGCTACATTGTCCCTACAATGTCTTTATTAAAAAAAATTATTCATTATCAATAAATTAATTAAGAGAAATAATTTTATTAGTTATATTGTCTTTATATTTCTCCAATGTAAAAAATTCTATACATTCAAATTCATCAATTGATTATATTCACTATATTGTCTATTATCTTTTTTGTGCACTATTTTTTAATTAAATATCAAAGTTATAATACAAAATAATCCTATATATTTATTTACCAAGTATTTTATTAATACCATGAAAAATTAAAAAAATATAATTAATAAAGTCAATCATATTAACTACTTGAGTGATTTGTTGACAAAGAGAATATTCAAATCACACAACAATTTGAAATGAGAACTACCTCGCAATGTCCTTGTTTGACAAACAGCAGTTAGCGGTTAGCGTTAGCGGATTATATTAGCGAATTTGACCAGCGAATTATATCAACGGTTGGTAAAAAGATATTTGAAAAAATTAGTTGTTTAGATTAACATGTAAAATGACCTAAGGGTATACATATATATATATATATATATATATATATATATATATATATAATAATAATAATAATAATAATAATAATAATAATAATAATAATAATAATAATAATTGTTTAAAAAAAAGAGTAAAAGACATTTTTGGTCCTAAATTTATAGTGACTTGGACAATTTTAGTCCTTTATAAAAAAATTTGCCATTTTATGGACAGAGTTATTGTGGCGAGGACATTTTTGGTCCTCCATTTATATTTCTGTTAGATAACCGTCTGAGAGAGGGGTAATTACGTCAATTTAGGCTATCTCCTTCTATCTATTATATCTATGTGTGTTTTGTTTTCTTCTCGGTCGTAATTCGAAGGAGTCGGAGAGTCCAAGTTGCAGTTGTACAAAGAAATTGCCGGAGAATCGAAGCCGCCAAACAGGTTACTAATCAAATAGATAAAAGGAGAATCGAAGCCGCCAAACACACATAGATATAATAGATAGAAGGAGATAGCATAAATTGACGTAATTGTCCCTTTCTCATATGGTTATCTAACAGAAATATAGACGGAGGACCAAAAATGTCCTCGCCACAATAACTCTGTCCATAAAATGGCAATTTTTTTTTATAAAGGACTAAAATTGTCCAAGCCACTATAAGTCTAGGACCAAAAATGTCTTTTACTCAAAAAAAAATAAGCCAATCATATGAACTACTTGGGGGATTTATTGACAAAAAGAGTACTCAAATCACAGAACAAATTGAAGTGGGAAAATATATCGCAATGTCCTTGTTTGGCAATCAGCAGTTAGCTCTTCAATATTAGTATATATTTAATATTTTATGCCCTAATTTTTATTTGCTCTCCCTTATGTCCCGTATTTGGTTTCAAGTATACCTATACAATTATTTTATTGACAATTATAATCAATCTTGACTATATTAGCTTGCATTTGTAAACTTAGAATTGCCTATTTAAATAGGCAAATTTAACATTCAATTATCTATGCATGAACAATCCAATATAATCTTGCCTTGATATACTTTAAACTATTTATTTTTAAAAAAAAAACATTGGGCATTATCCAATCGCGCAATGCGCGTAAAAAACTAGTCTACTATACAAGGATTCAGGGAGCACATACATGCATATATAATGAGAAGGAATTATATACATATGTGATCTGTTGATCATATAACCATTAATGTGCAATCCAACTGTTAGCTTAGACTTTTAGTTGAGATGGAGCACATGCTTCAATTTGATCATTTTTAAAATCTTAAGTTATGCACGAAGTGTATTATATACGGGATCATCTTTAAAATCCTTAAGTTATGCACGAAGTGTGGATTATAGTCCCTTGGGGATTATTTCTACCACCAATTTGTCACTTAATAAAATGGTTGATTTGGTCCTTCAAGAACTAAAATTGCCACTTCATACATAACTTAAGGGTTAAAACAGGCCGTCGTTATATCGTGGACCGCGATGCATAATCAATTATGCACCGCGCATTAAAACGGCACGCTGTTAGTATTAACGGATTGACACTACAGTGTATCTAAACCGATATTGCTTCACGTATTATTTTTATATTATCAAATGAGAGTGCAGTTATATCAAAATTGTTAGTGTACAAGTTGGTACACATTAATCCTATAATTAGTTGGCAATTTATATAGCAATTTTGTGTTGTCTAAATTAATAAAGCCTTGGACTGCCTCTACTTATGGAAATAAATCTACGGCCATGATGAAGTCAGTATGGATTGATTATGAAGTCAGCATGGAAGGGCTATTCGCATGGACAAGATATGTGGTGGTAAGCTTTTAATTAGTTTGAGCGGTGGTGGATGACTACTGCATTAAGGAAAGTAGTTGAAGGCTATAACTATAAAAGGGATAACACTTTCCCTATTTCTTTTTGGGACACACACTTCCATATTATTTTGGGAAAGAATTGTTCAAACACTATATTCTGGGTTTTATATTGATTGGAAAGAACACGGTTGGCAGCACAGTCTTACTAGAGCATGTTCAGCAACGTCAAGTTGTGAAGTCACTCACGCCATGCACGTATAATTCTGAGTAGATGTTAAGAAGGTGTTGTGGTAGTAACGGCGGGTATCCTTTTGTACTTACCTATTGTATAACTCCCTGGTGAACATCTATAGTGGATTGGGCAGACGTGGGTTGCCCCGCAGACGTAGGAGAAGTGTTCCGAACTGTGTGATCATTTCTTTGTGTTCCTGGTTTTTATTTCTTACTTTTTAATTCTTTATGTTTATCGTATTAGCATAAACTGACACAATTAAAATGGTATGTTAATTGATTATTTAAAAACCAAGTACAACTTTAATTCTAAACTTGCATTCAAGATTCACGGTGTAATTTTAAAAATAGTACTGTAGTTGTGGTGAAATGAAACTGCAGTATATATAAAATGAAACTGAATAACATTTCACATATTTGAGTGTATACTGTACAATGAAGCTGTAATTATATCGAAATGATGAAACTATATTGTATATAAAATAAAATTAAATAACATTTTCACATATTTGAGTGTATAAATACTGAATGAAACTGTAGTTATATCGAAATGAAACTGTAGTTATATCAAAATGAAACTGCAGTGTATACAAAATGAAATTGAAGAACAGAGTTATTTTTTGCGGAACGGTACAGAACGGCGTGAAACAGATTTCGTTTCTTTTCATTAAATAAAATGACGTTGTTTTGATGCGCGGTGCATAATCGATTATGCACAGCGGTGCATGATAAAATGGTCGCGCGTATAACTTAGAAACAACTAAGTCTATACCATGGGTATATATAACTGGAAGACCAAAATGCAATTTTTCCTTATTTTTATTATTGTTGTTGTTATTTGGTTGTGAAAATAATTTAGAATTGGTATAAGTCATGTTGGCTGAATTTGAGGGGACTCTTGCAGTTGCATTGGCAATATGTGTTGTGGCAATCTTCAGCTCCTTGCTTACTAGCATAAGGATGTTGCTCCTACATTGTCGCTGGTGAGATTTGATCCCTGTCTATTTTTTTTAAACTTCACCCATATGATCAACTGACCATGCGAACACCTTCATCTAATAAGTTGATATGACAATTGATTTAGTAACCAAAGGAGAGCTGTCTTATTGACGTTTTTAGTTTGAATTGGTCAACTATTAACAACTATACTGATTTATCTAATTTGATCTTTTGTTGGATAAGATTGCAAGACTGATTTCAGGTACTGAAGATGCACCTTCAAATTGTAACTTGCAATTTTTCAATAATCCAAATGTTAATTATATATCCTAAAAGACGGACAAACACGCAAGAAAATTTAACTTGAAGTGACGTTCGCCTTTAAATGCTATCTACCAAAATTTAATTTGATGTAAATGAATTAATTGATTAAATAGCCTCGGAAGGCGGCGTGATTGAGTGGATATTGTATTATTTTTGTATCAGAAAGTTACGAATTGTCCGAATCTTCCTAATGCAATATATCTCTCCTATTTGGTTCATGTGTTATTACATAGGAGCGTAGATGAATTTCCCTTGTCATAAACATTTTGATTAAATATTACTTTTTAAACAATTAAATTTTGAAATAAAAAAAAAATAAAAATAAAAGTTATTTGATTTACGATAAAGCCCACAACTGTTACTCAAAAGTGCGTTGTGAGTAAAGCTCACCTTGTGATCCTAGTTGGTAAAGGATCACAAGAAGATAAACCGACCTTGAATTAGTTGCTTAGAGCTGACCGACTCAAATCAAGAAGACTAATAAACAACTCGTCCAAGAAATTGAACTTGGAACCTTGTAGTTATCAATCTAATTATTTGATCAACTTGGTTGGAAATTGCACTCTAAAAATAATAAATTAATTATTTTTTTTTTGTTTGGAATTGTCGAACATCACAAGTCGTGCACGATCTAAGATCGAATTTTGACACCCATAGCATGTGAA